AGTAACATTGATAACACAGGATCAGTATTTCAAGATATATATACACATGTAGCTATTATATAAAGAATACTCGGCAATCAAAGAATTTACTAAGAAGATATGTTTAGCCAGATAAACAAAGTGACGGTGATAGGGCAAACCCCAGTTTTTTCCAGGATTCCATCAGGATCAGTTGTGACAATCCACCCAACACGCCAACCAGCAACATTCCATCGCTTTGATATGGATCCAAGGGTGAGAAGAGGCACAATAGACCCAAACAATCCCATTGGCACAAATGGTGTGTTCCCGAACGAAATATGGACATAAACTTCATCTGCAATGACCAAAATCCCTAACTTCCTTGCTGTCTTTGCAATCTATATACAATTCAGAAGAAAAGAATCAAATCATATGAGAGGACATATTTGTCTGGTATTTGTGGACAGAGCACTAAACAGATATTTATAAGAGTAGGCAATCAGTCAAAGGTTCGGATATTCATATTATAAATAAAAATAAAAACAACAACAAAGATCATAAGCAAGGATCAAACTTACCTTCTCTAAATGCTCAAGACTGAAGACATTTCCACAACTTCCAGGATTTATGATAACCATGGCAACCGTATTCTTATCTGCAAGAGCTTCAACAGCATCTAGATCAACCTCCCAACCCTTTCCAGGCAGAAGGTCAAAATGACGAACTTCAAGATTGGAACATGCTGCACGAGCTTCATGGTATGGGTACCCTGGTCTAGGAAGCAAAATATTGGGACCAGGACGAGCAAGGGATGTTATTGTAACTTCCATTGCTTTATAGCATCCGAGTGTAAGATAAACATCCTCAGGTGATTACTTGTATGGCAAATCACGATTGAGATAATCTGCTATAGCCCTGTTGAAAAAGAAAAGGAAAAAGAAACCTTAATTATATGTTTTGACTAATGAGTAATAGTGGATAAATAGTTCTCTCCTTTCCTAAATTACTCTTTTCCCATCTCCGATTTAAAACTTGAGGCATCCCAGTTGAAAATCTATTGGATTAGTGTGTAAGAGGCCTCATTGATAATTGTTGCGATTCCATGTAATTGACTTCATTGTGAACAATCAACAGGCTTTAGGGGTGAAATTAAATAAAACAAAATGCTTTCATGGCGAATGCAGAAGTAGCATAATCCAATTTCTTCTCGAACACCTTTCTCCTAGCACTATTGCTGTCCAGTAGGTGAATAGATGCAAAATTTTCATTGGTCAGTGCTAGTAGAGTGCCATTAAAAAAATATAAAAAATAAAACAAAAAGGTGCTGGTAGCTCTTAGATATTCCCTTAATTGCAAAGAAAAGGTGCCATAGCTCAAAATTTAGGAAGAAACTATGGGCATGTTTGGAGTAAGCAACAAAACAGAACATGGGATAGGACAACCATCTGTTGTGAGTCTTGTGACGTTGGAAAATGAGATAATTTTTATCTCATCTTTTGTTCCATCCCGGCCTCAAAAATAGCCGCTTGAAATTGAAGGAATTTTTGAACCACTAATCTTCAAAATCAAAAAATGTTAATTAATAGTTATCAACTCTGAGTTAACATTTTGTTAGTATATATATCATGTTCCTCACGAGATTAGGTGAAATAGGATATTTCCACCCTTGCCCCTCTTCTTCTTCTCTCTTTATGGTTTTGAACCTTGGTCAAACGTCACTTTCCAAGCTGTTTTGGACCCGAATCGGGTACCAAGCCACCGTACCCAGACCTATACTCTGGGTAACACCCCCAACTATCCTAAACCTCCAGCTACTCCTTGAGTTGCCCTAGATAACCACTACAACTTTGTACTGCCCTGCACAGGAGTTAGGAGATCGGTCCGGACAATTAGGCAGTGACTGTGGTTACAGGACATTTCTGGACCTAATCCAGGGTCTAGGATACATTAGGTGTGACCTGAGGTCAAGGATTTATCCTGGCTAAAAATGCCCCCATATGTTCTGGATGTGAGTGCCATTAGTGATTTAAATATTTATTTTTTTTCTTTTTTATTTACAAGAAAGTTTAAGATAGCAGAAGAATATTTTAATAGTTCAGTTATTATTTTTTTTATTAAAAATTTTTCATGTGAACTAAAAAATGTGAGGTATAAGTTTCATCTCAATGTT